AGCTGAGGAGACATTTTGGAATCAGTTTCACCACGAGATGTGAGGAGAGAGTAAATAAAACCATCCAGGTTCTCGTTCATGCCGAATGTCCTGCACAGAAATCTACTGAAACCAAAGGATCATTCAAAGCTCCGCATGAAGCGTCTCCGTGTCCTGCAGGAAGTCGTGTGTTTACCGAGCTCACGACCGGTTCGCAGCCTCAAACAGATGAAAAGAGGAAGACACTGGCAATGTGAGGGGAGAGGTGATGAAACTTTTCAAAGGGAAAACTGGTCTGACGACATGGATCAGTATCTTTTCTCCCGGAGAACCAACCATGAAAAATAAATATAAACGTGACGGCAGCGTCTGTCTCTATTTTCATAATCCTCCTCCAACCAGTGCAGTTTCTTTGACTCCAAGAAAACAATTTAGTCAAAATAAGAAATTCCCCTGAAAGCAAATTTGGGATTTTTACTGTTCAAGAAGCCAAAAACGTGCTTTGTTCCTTTTGATCTTTGACCCCGAGGACACTTCCCACGCAGCCCACAGAGGAAAGCGATCTTCGTGGACTAGCTGCTTTGCGTAGACCACAGGGTTGAATGAAATGAGGCGGTCTGGTCTACAGAGGATTACCATGATCAGCGTCGCCTGCTTGTCCCTCCCCCTTGTTGCCGTCGCCTTGATTTTCAACATGTGAGTGAGTCAGTGATGCTCGAGCATTCGATGCCTCATCACTTGCCGGAGCCATTATCTCTTTGAAAAATGATTTGTCACCAAAAGTGCAATGGACCCTGGGATAGTTTGGGTCCGGGAGGGATCCGTCTGTGGGGAGTTTGTTGGGAAACACAACAATCGACTCACTCTGTTGTTTTATTCATGCAAATGTTTGATGGTGTGAAAAATTTATCATATTTCACTCTCGTCCTGTGTTATTGTTTCAAATGTCTTTTTGCTTTGGCTCGGCCCTTTGTAGAGAATTTTATGAAAAATGAATGCAGAATGACTGAGCCATGAAGGCTTCAGTCTTCCAGCTGACAGACGCCTGACACTTAGAGACGACCTGCTGTCCGTTAATTCCGTTCAAATTACCCGTTGGGGACGTTGTGAAGACACTTCAGTGCGTTCGCCTCCTCGTCCTCGATCAGCATCACAGACGTCGCTGTTTCTTTTTCCTCCTGTTTTAGTTAATTGTTAATTCTTTGTCTGAAATTCGGGCGTGATGAGATTATTTCAGATCTGACGGAGCTGAGGACCGTACAGTCATACATACTGACGTCTCGCAAGGGACATCAGCAAAATGCGTGTGTGCGTGTGTCTGTCAAAGGTCATGAGGACCAATTGTGAGGACATTTTTGCCCATTCTCACCACTTTTAAAGGCTTTTTGAGCATTAACACTTGATGAGGGTTTAAAGTTTAGGTTAAAACACTGTGAGGACCACGAGCGTTAAAAAACCCTTTAGAAGTGTCTTGTTTAAACCAGGAGACGTATTCACTGTCAGCTTGTAATAACTTGCATTTAAACCAAACCCTCCAACTTTGATTGAAATAAAAGACACAGACAGTCCGTGATTTTAAAGAGACCAATGTTCCTCTCAAGACGAGCAGAACACACACACACATTTTGGGAAACTTACAATCTACTATAATGTCATTTCTATTTTCTGATTCTACGTCAATTTAATGTCTTCACGTCTTTTCGATATTGATCACATTTTTCAAATTACTGGGTTTTCAGGAAGCCACGACACAAAATGTTTTATTTATTAGCAACGCTGACAACCTGATCCAATCAGGGCTGCCCAGGGTTGAACATGATTGCCTCTCCACTCCGCGACTCGGTTTTAAGTCTGTCGAGCACCTCTTTGCTCCTGCGGTACATGAATGCAGCCGAATGGAAGAAAACCAAACAACTTCAGTTGGTAAATTAATTCACAGCAGGAGTGACAGCCTGCCAACAGCATTATGAAAATACATTCATTCTAACTGTAGTAAAAGTTTCAAAGTACTGCCTCTGTCCTCGAATCACTGATATTTTTTTATCTCAAAGTGCAGAATCCGAACTCTCCTTCACATTTTGTAGCTTGTGAATATTCAGAATTTTAATATCTTAGAAAATAGGTCAGTCGAACTGTAAAGAACGTTTATTCCAGTATTCCACCCTGTAATTTCTTTACTTTGTCATCAGTGGGATTCCAGCCCCCCCCCCCCCACAACCCTCAGGGGATGAGTGCTATAGCTAAAAATACACCGATTTTAACAGCGGTTCCTTTTGATTGAACATTGTTCATCAAATAATCACATTCATTTACTCTGAACTGTTCAAAAATGTCTTTAAATACTATTTATTCATGGAGTTTCTTCAGATTCTCAGCCGACAACAGATCCTTTCATAACCTTGTTGTTATTGCCGTTCCCATGATGACGGAGGTTCCCCAAACTCATTTTACCTGAAGCACAGCTGCAAATCTTTTTATGTCACATCGCTCACGTCGGTCCTTGAACACAATAAAGTGGTTTCTGTGCCTAAAATCATAAACTCATAAAAGATCATTACTAGAAAACTGATGCCTGTTCGATTGTTCATTAGGAGGAATTTGTTTTTAAATTAGTAATCTGATCTAATCTAATCCAACAGTCCTGGAAGTCTCCTGAACAATCTGCTCTGTGAGTTTGTTTTTCATCACGAGCTGCAAACTAAAAGCTGCTAATTCGTAAAGACAAGAGTTCACAATGGAATCTGAGTCGACAGGTTTTTTTTTTGTCAGTAAGCAGGTCGAACCTAAGTATTTACATAAACTGTAAATCTCACTGTTTCCACCTTGACGCCACATTTCCTTTTGTTCTTCTTGAAGTCGGTAAATTTAGAGATCTAATGCACAATCCTGCATGCTCGAGCAGGAAAGACTCAAAATACACTCAATCCCCTTTTTTCCGAGAGCAGATTTGAAGACGTGTTTGTGGATTCCTTCAATGGTGTAATTCAAGTCATTCATTGACTGCCAAAACATAAGAAGCCCTGCGGCGGGGATTGTTTGTATCTAATGATCTGACAATGTGAGACTTGTTTGTGGTGTTTTCTCGAGCAGCCTCAGAAAATCCCTTGAAAATGTCTCATCCTGTTCTTTCTGGAAAGGACAACAAAAGGTTGAACGCGTCAGAACAGAAAAGATGAGAGTTGTTTTTATCCATTTCATCACGTGTTGCATGTTTGAATTGGTTTTTAAATCCTTTAATAAAAACATGGGAATTTTATTTTTAGCGCTGTCTATCAAAGGCAACAGAAGAACATTATTCAGTATTTCAGACGCCATCTCCCTCACCCTTCACACTGCCCTCACCCACCTGGACCAGAGGGACACATATGTGAAAATGCCGTTCATTGACTACAGTTCAGCGTTCAATACCGCCGTGCCCCTGAAGCTCGTCACTGAGCTCGGAGACCATGGGCTCAACACCGCCCTCCGATGATGAGATGGCCTACAGAGAGGAGGTCAGAGCCCTGACATGTTGGTGCCATGGACAACAACCTCCATCTCAACGTCAGCAAAACAAAGGAGCTGATCGTCTCCAGACTCCGTCACAAAGACGGCCAGCCAGCGTCTCGTCTTCCTCCGCAGGCTGCGGAGGCTCAACATGGATCCCAGGACCATTGAGAGGAGGACCTCCACACTCTGCGGTGTAGGAAGAAGAGCAACCGGATCATTAAGGACCAAACTGCTCTGCCTGTTTCCACCACCACACACCAACTACATCTGCAGAAATCATGAATCATTTTTCTCTCTGTTGAGCTGGACGGTGTTTGTGTGTGTGTGGGTAGTGATTCAACACAGTGTGAGGTTTACTTCTCTAAAGCATGAGATGCTTCTTTGGCAACACAACAAAACATTGACATTTTACTACCAAATAAACTTGTTGCTGTGGAATACAGTCGCCCTTTACACATCCAGCAGTCCAGCTTTTATTTGAAGTTGTGTCCTTGACGGGTTTCTACTGACTCTGATGGGAAATATCAAGCTCTCCAGTTGCTAAATGCTTCGCTATGTTTATCAGCTACTTGCAAATGTTTCATATCTGCGGTTTGGTGCCGAGCAGATAATACACACTGGGTCTATCTGAGCCTTTAAACAGACGCCTGCTACATCTAAGAACTAGAATGGCTCCCAGCAGAGCGTATGCCAATCAAGCACCACCACGTTGCACACACTCGTAAATATTATGAATTCTTTGTCATCACGTTCAATGAATTACTGAGAAAACAACACAAATTTTGAACATTTCCATTTCTCAGTGTGGATCAGCCCCATGATCCGGATCTGCACTAAACTTTAACAGCCTCTCCCCTGATCCTTTCATCATCCTTCCACCAAGTTCGCTGTTTTTACTTCCAGTAGTTTTCTGCTGACAAACCTGCAAACAGACAAACACATAGAAATATAATTTATATAACATATAATTTTACATATAAAATAGTTTTTTTTATTGTATTGTCTGTCTGTAAAGTGCCTTGGGTACAAACCCAAGTTATTATTATTATTATTATTATGGAGAGACAGTCAAATGCATAGAGCAGAGGGAAATTACAGGGACGTGTCTCTTTTTAATATGAATGATTAAATACTATAAAGGGGCATATAGTCCATTATTAAACAAAAGCATTGACTGGTGCAGCTTTAAATCTTCAGCTAGAGATACTTTCTTCCATTTGCTTTCACAAAATCTGTAAAACAGGCAGATGGACAGAGGACAGAGACAGTGATGGAGGGAAACCCGAGATGAGCCAATAATCACATCTCAGGCTTGCGTGTCCCTTCACACACATAAATAAACATCACCTGAGGATAAACCCTCACTGACAACATCATCGCTATTTATTTGCTAGTGGATTAAGAATGAATGGCAAGGAAGAAAATCCTCTCAGGTGATTCCGTGAGAAAAGAATCCAAGAGAGCTGGTTTTCAAAACTGCCAGACTAAAGGAGCCCTTGAACGCATCAGCGCTGTCACTCGGGGATCGCACCCCTCCCTCTGTGCGCGCTCCACCTGTGCCGCCGCCGCCTCTCTTCATGCGTCACGATGGCAGCTGCTTCTTTTAGACCTGTTCCCTGCGTCGCCCCGCACACAGCGTCCAAACCTGCGCAGCGGCCACAGGTCCTCTCCTCCTCCCGCAGCCGCGTGCTCCCTCTCCCCGCAGCGTCCACGCACCAGGAAGACGCGAGCAAACTTTTGGAGACCATTTTTACGCACGGGTTCCCCAAAACTGGAAAACTAGAGAATACATCTGCTTTCCTCTCTGCACCACCACCATCACCGTTCACCCGAGCGGGTCTCCCCTCAAACATCCAGAAGGTACCATGCGAGTTTACGTGGCTGTGATCCTCGCGTACGGAGTGTCAGGTGAGTTCAGCAACTTCTCCCCTTTTTTTCCTCCCCGCATTTGTGATGTGCATCAAATTTCCGAAGAAGCCTTGAGATGATTTCAAACCAGCAGACCCGTGAAATCTGCAGAGAGGCTGAGAGATATTAGGGATAGTGTCTGCATAGTGTCTGTATATCAGGAGGAAATGTGTCTGCACAGTAAATCCAGTGTGACGGTATGGAAATGCATCAGGGAGCCACAGTGGGGCTTCATGAGGAAACACTTGAGTCACCTACAAGGATAGTGTCTGATTAGAAATAAGAAATAGTGAGTTGGTTCTCCTCCTGTCTTCTGTTGTGTAACTGTCCAGAGGCTGTTGTGCATCTGGTCCTGAGGTATGAAGTCTGTGTGAAGCCTGAAGGATCCACACAGAAGGACATCTGTGCCAATGATGAGATGGCTTTAACTGACAACACATTTCTTGTAGTTCATAGATGAGAGGAACTTTCATCGTGTGTCCATTGACCAGAAATTGTTTAGAGAATCTGAATCTGGACACCGACGTGTGCCTCGAAAATCCCAAGGGAATTGAATTCTTTAATTTGGCTGCAGATCGATCGATAGTGCATTTCTCAAGCTCCAGATTTCGGTATGAAATGACGTCGAGTTTGAGGCACATACACGGGAATCTTGTATATTTGTCGTTTTCTGACGTTCTGTAGCCGGAGCCTTGCATCTTCGATCTGAGGAGAACGTGTAAGTGTCTCCTCTGTGCCCTGGATCTCTCCAGCAGGCAGGAGGCAACTCATAAATGATGTCACAGTTTAACCGTGAACTGCCTCTGGTATTCTGCTTCCCTCTCGACAAAGAACTGGAGCATGAACACGCAAAGCAAAGCGAACTTTACAGCGGCACAATTGCTTTTTTTCTATCAGATATGCTGTGTTTTTATTCCATATTCCAACAGGAAATACTGATAACAGGTGGCAGAAACATAGGGAATATTTACGTCTGTTTTTATGGCAGCGAAGTCCAGGGGATGTTTCCCCCGTGGAGATAATGAAATGTTTGTTCCATTTTCCTTATTTTGATTATGGAGGCAGATAAGACCGAGTTATTTCCCCTCATGCATGTAAGTGTGTAAGCATCCATCAGCTGTGGTCTTTGCTTTGTGTCCAAGTGCAACTTTCGTCAACTACCTTTTTGTGAGTCTGTGCTGCACAGTGTTAGTCAGCATTAAAATGTCCACTACTGCGCAAAGTTTCTTTTACAGCCCTTTTCAATTTCTAGGCCGGGAGCGTTCTGGTGTCTTCTGTCCCTGAAGTGTCCAAACGTTAACTTAAAGCGTCTAAGGGACTGCAAAGTAATTGATGCCCTCGCCACAGCACCACTGCAGTATCCAGTGAAGTAACGGTGTTAAATTCTGCCTCTGGCTCTTGAAAGGACTTTATGCCTGTCTGGAATGGGCCCATTGTTTGCCTGTGGTGATGGTGGCTGCAGCTTTTCTTGAGAAACGCTCATAGAAACAACTTGACTCTGAAATTATTTACAGATTGCAATAACAGTTTAGGTTGGAAGTGAACTTAAACAGAAAATATAACAGAGCTGAATAATAACGTCGGGCGATGTGCGGTGCGATTTTTATTCAGCAGCAGATGACGAAACATTGAGAGAATGAGTTTTACAAATTGAAGCACATCCTCTGTGTTTATCATCCTGATATCTGATGCTGTGGGAAGACATTTCCATTTTCTTCGTTCACAAAGAACCACAGTGTTCTGATCCGTATCTAATATACTCCCACACTTTAATTATCAAGGGCAAGTAGGTACAGAGATAACTGGTGCTGAACAAATGTTAAAAAACAACTAACAGACTCCGTGTTAAACGAGTAAACAGGAGCAATGGGGCTGTTTTTCGGAGGTCTCGTAATGTCTCTCCGGTGCTTTTACTTTGTTTGTGCAGACCAGAAAAAAGACACTCCCTACATTTGGACGACTAGAGGTCAAGGTTTGTAGCCGCAGCTTGTTCTGTAGCTCTCACCTGTGGATGTGTTTGGGACGTGGCGCCGCCGTCAGTGCAACGCGCCAGTGACGGGTCCAAAATTAGCCTGAAATCCCCGCAGCGCTTCCTTGAAGCCCCGGGGACACGCATGCCAAGACTGATGTGAATGGGATGACGGTGATAGGTGAATCAAATCTGCATCATTGTCAGAAGATATTTATCGCTCGGCCGTTTAATGGTCTTCAAGGTTAAAGGTAGGAATCCATAACTGGTGGTCAAAGGGAACATTCACATTGCGCGGTGGTTAACAACGGATCTCGCTCCTCCGTCGTACAACACCAGCTGCACAACTAACGCCCCAGATCACAGGGACGACAGCGACTCTCATCACCCTCGTACCCAAGTGTGGAAACGTCTCCTGCAGTCAACTCTGACGATCCACAGTTGTCAGATTCATTTCCTGCTGAAAAGCTGAAGAGCCTCATTAGATGCAACTAACGACCTCTCTTTCCTTAAGAAAGAAGAAAACGCATCGTACTCAACTGTTGTTCCGTCTTTATTATTGCTCGCAGGAGTTTCCACAGGCTTTCGTGAGGACATGTCTCCATGTGTCATAGTTTTCTCCGACTTCATCGTGAACATCTTGTTTTCGACATGTAATCACAGAGCGATCATTTGCAGTGATTGGGACCCTTTGACTGAAATGATTGGTGATGTAGTGGCAGGCATGGTGTGTGTAGCTCTTGATAGGACGTCTGCCTCTAAAAGAACTTTCAGATTTGCCAGTAAATCACAAAGCTCGTACTCCAGGGGAAAGGTGATTTATTGGGCATCTGTTTTGGGGGAAAAGGACTTTTCTCAAACATCCTCCCATCTGGCTGCGAGGTAAATGTGCCACAGAGTTATTCATTAGTTCCTGTCAGGTGGGAATTAGACAATTAAGTGAAACCTCACCGTTTTATTGTGATGAATGTCTGAAGCAAAGGAAAAACAATGAATTATGACAACCTTTGTCTTTGCTTCGTCGTCTCGTTGACTCCGCTGTTGGTGGATAAATGAAATAAATGTAAATGAGTGACTCAGGCCTCTTTGCATTATTTTAAAATACTGTACCGACGTCGTCATCGGTTTAGGAGATCTTAGTCAAGCAAGATAATAAATCTTCAGTTACACCCACACCCCATAGACAGTCGGTTAATTTGTTTGTTAAAGAAGATTATCTCCTGGATGGATGTGATTAGAGTCAGGAAAGAACCATTTACATTTTGGTGCAGATTCCAATCAGGGTGCAGATTCACCAATACCCCAGAGGAGGATTCAAGTATCTGGATGGAAACCATCAGGTGCATTTGGGCTATTCTAGTTTAATGTGCACACAAATCGTCATCGGCTGAATCTTAGTTTCTCCCCAACATTGGTCACATCCCCATTCGGCCTGACGTCCTGATGAGATAAAACTTTGCTCCTGTGTTTTCTGCTACTGTGGAGTTCATGTGTTTTGCCTTCATCCAGACGTTTGTTGACATCTGTGGACGTTTGTGCGGATGTGACTTAGTGTCGCAAGCTGTTGATGCTTTAGGGAGCGGAAGAGACATCGAGATAAGGCTCTCTGAACATCACAACCTCGTCCTGAGCTCTTTGCATATAAATGAGTGGGCGTCCTAGGTAACGATCCGGTCCGTTCACGCTTTGGTAATAAAAAAGTGATTAAAACTTGAATTTAAGTTTGTGATCGATGAGGCTTCGAGGCGCAGCTGATAAAACGGCTCTTCTGGCTCATCATCAGCTGTTCACTCGGACAGGGGTCAGTGATCAGAAGGTATCACACTGTGCCGTTCATCACATGCAATCACCATGAATCAGTTACTGCGGGCCGTCATGTCTGCACCATGCATAATGTATCCCCACTGCCGCTGAAGGTTCTTAATCTGATTGGTTTCTACTTCCGTAAATTACTGTTTTCGAAATAGTCGGTCGAGTGTTATTGATACTGAGGCATTGACTCTTGCGTATCACTTATCTTCCATTTCCTGTCACGAAACGTCCTCCAAAGAAAAGTTATCATGGTTGATGCTGGAAATATCTCACTCTGGTGTTACATCACTGACGCTTGACCTGGATAATAAGCTGCACCCGGGAAATGATGCACATTAGCAGCAAAGCAAAGAACTCGGTATTTAAAAAGCACATTTGGTTCCAGGTGGAGGCTCGGCGTGCTGCACAGATTGTGAGCTGCCGTTAAAGTAGGAGCCACTGAACCAGGTGGTTAAAAAAAGTAAGACATTAAATAATAGGAGGATTTGGTTAAAAGTAAAATATGAATGAAATAGAATAAAAAACATTAAAAGAAGTAAAAGGAAAAACTGTTTTTTTGGATGTTACATTTGAAATCCTAATGCTCCAAAGGCTTTAGCAGGTAATGATCAAAGTTTTAACATCCACAGTTTTAGTGGGCCCAGGAACAAGATGTGCCATTGGGGAAATTTATAATATGATGAATTTGAATGTTTTTTTATGAAAATCCTCTAAACTGTCTTTGAGACATAGAGGAGATAAAATAAAAATATGATTTAACTCGGAAGAGCTGAAGTGCACGCAGGCAAAATTGAACAATCATATGATTGTATTCAGACGCAGGACAGTGAGTGTTTCTGGAGCCGGCAGGATGATGAGTAATCATTGAAAAAATGTTTTATGAAAGACGTTTATTAAAAAAAAAAACCCTGCAAGTCAAATAAAAAATGATTAAGAAAAACACTTGATCATCTTATCTGGCGTTATACTGAAGACTGACGTTCATAAAATCATACGAGCTTTATTAAAGATGATGCCAGAATTCTGTCAACTTTATCAGCTAATTGTAATAATTTGCATAATGATGGTAAATTTGATCAATCACACAAGTGTGAGACTTTGGTTGCAGTGACCCTGAAGCTGCTGCACCACCGCTGCTGCATAAAGAGCTGTTCACCTGTTCATCCAAAGTTTAGCTCGACGTACGTACGGAGAATCCTGAACTGGAGGATCAGCTGTTGTGCTGCTCTTCACTTACTTGTGAGTCCCAGCTGCTGCTGCTGCTGCTGCTGCCGCCGCCGAGCGCTGGTTATTTCAACTTCCTTAATATTGAACATATGGTGCGTCCAAATTCAACACTGCACTTCCCCCGGGCCGTTTAAAAATACACGTGCCAAGTGTGGAGCGGAAAAGACGAGCGGGTCTTGAGAGATGCGAGTCACAGACATATCAGATCAAACTCTTGATTTGTTAAGAAACAGTGGCAGATTACATTCTTGGATTTCCTGTTTTGTTCACAGCGCTCAATGTCACGGAGGAGAAGGCGACATGCCCCCTTGGATATTTCCCCTGTGGCAACCTGACCATCTGCCTCCCTCAGCTCCTGCACTGCAACGGCATCGATGACTGTGGAAATCAAGCGGATGAGGAGAACTGCGGTGAGTCCGAGTGTCTCGTTGACTAGATGTTCTTAAGACCGAGTTCTGTTCCACCTCATGAATGCACTGTGAGATGCTGACGGACACATACAAAATCTAAGTCTTCTGATTTCAAAGAGCAACATTACACTAAATCGCCTTTTTCTAGGAAGTGAATTATACGTGCATTCACTTTATTATACTTTCACTAGACTCTGGTCCCGGAACCACCCTCAGAAATTCCCCCTGACTTCTGTCCATTCGTCAGACTCGTCCCTCTGGATGAATGATGGCTTCAGTCAACTGTTCTGTCCTCTAACTGCAGGTGGTTTAAAGTTAGAATCACTTCGCTGCCCCTTGTATGAGCAGGAAAAAAACATTTTCCCTACAAATGTGATATTAGTGCATTGTAGGCCGACGACATTAAACTGCAGAAAGCTTTATTCAGTTAATAAAGTTTTAAATTCCCTCTCAGCAGCACAGTCCTCTCGGACAGATAACAGCGAGCATGAACGTGACTCATGTGGTCTGGCACCGGCTCAGTCCGCCTCCGTTGCAAATTAACGACATCGTCAACTTATCTTATCTTAGAAAAGACACAATTTAAAAGTGTGAAGCGTGTTTGAAGGAATGCTCTTCTCTTTTTTTCTTGCACTCCTTTTGATAGGTAGACCTCCGACTGATGTGTAACTGACAGCTGGGGGAGGTGGAAATGTTTGTGCAGAAGCAGAGGGAGCCGGTGGTTCAGGTTCTTATTTTATTCGCATTTATAAATTTGAGTGTTGAGGGCGAACGTTAGACGCTTTAAAGTGATGTGAGTGAGCGCGATTCTTATCCCCCATGCTGATCTGACTGTCACGACTTTCAACAGAGAAATACACTCACACATCTGTGAGGATCATTCTGAGCTTAGAAATTATGGAGCAAGGACATTTTGACTCGTCCTCACCGGGGCGAAGACTCAGTTTTAAGTTTGGGGCTAGAATTAGGTTCAGGAAGGGGCTGGCACCCATTGGACGGTACCGGCTGTCAGTCTCACAGCATCCTCTTGCCGATGCTCACAGTGCTTTATGGTTTTTATTTGACTTTAAGTGGGACCATCATTTACATCAGCTGTGTTGAAGAAGATTCGAGACGAGAGACTGAGACATAAACTCCTGATGTTTACTGACGTTATCAATCAAGTGACCTTTTCTTGTAGACTTTTATAGAAACTGATTTAAAACCCAGTGGAGTCGCCCTCTGCTGGTCAGAGGCTGCGTCTGTGGTTATATTGTTATAAATTCCTTTTATTGTTTTATCCTGAAACTCACATTTAAACGAGGAAACGGAAAAATCTACCGCCATGGCTCAGTTCTACTTCATGCTTGGGAGACATGATGAGATTTAGCTTTTTATTGAGTGTGGTGGATGATCTCGTGATTAGTGTGTAATACCAATAAAACACTTTAGGCACTCAGGAGGGATGAGTCCGACCCTCTGGAGGTGGCATCATTACTTCGCTTTCATCTGATCACTGAGAAAAGTTTCCTCCTCCAGAGGCTCGGAGTTCTTACTTACCTACTTAGAGTATTCTAACTCGTACTCTCTGGCCACTGGGAGCATCTGGAAAATTCAAGCTGGGTACTTTGTGACTCTGAGACGTTGGTCGAGGTTTCCAGGCGTCACACTCTGCGAAGAGAGAAGAGAAATCCTCGAGTCCTATGCATCTGTTATCATCATCCCAGGCTCAGATGGCAGCTGAGATGCTGCAGATTTTTACTACGCCATGAAGCCGTCTGCTCCTGCAGCTGATTAAAAATGATGCAGCCTCCAGAGGGTCAGTCTCACTCTTAGTGAACGCATACTTATCACGGAGACATGCACCATAATCCGGTGCAGGACAATGTCCCTGAGAAAGACTAATTATTAATTCATATTATTCAATTCGTTTGTTGTCTGCACTTGTTTGATTATTCAGATATGATTTTGGTTCAGTACCATCATTGTGAGGACATCTTGACGTCGTGAGGACATTTTGGATGTCGTCACAGATTCAATGGGCTGAGTTCACAGATTCAGCTTGTGACTCAGCACGTGCACAGTGGTCACTGGTAAACGTTGGCAGGTAGAAAGCAACTCATTCACTGGGGACGTAATAATACTTTCTCCCGTGGCTGAAGCAGCAGATGAGTCAGGACGTTGGAATAAGAAGCTGCAGTGGGCGAAGGAGAAAGCTCTTCAGCTCGCTACCTCCGATCCCCAAGGACACCTTAAAATAGGATTATAGCTCCTCAGAACTTGAAAGTGAAACAAGGGGTGAGGTCAGCGGACGTCATGGAAGTTAGAATCCACTCATTACGCCGCAGTGACTCAGAACTTCTAACTGGTTTAATACATATACTGTGTTTATATTGGATTTATTATGTCTGCTTTTTAAATTTCTTAGTGTTTACTATTACTGTTGTTTCTATTGTCGCCCTTCGCTGCTTTAAAACTGCTAATTCCCCCTCAGTGGGACGAATAATGGATTATCTAATCTTTTCTCTAGTCGAGGTATTAAATACATTTATAAAATAAAATGTGTTTAAGCAACTTCCAGATGTCATTGTTTCTCTGAGTGGGGCAGGACAGAACCATTTCAACCTCAAGTCCCTTGAGATGACGCGTGTTGTGATTTGGCACTTTACAAATTAAATTAAGTTGAACATCAGTGCGATAATGATAACTACAGAAAATGAAATATTTGTTTGACATACACTATAATATTTTATTCTGATCCGTGTCCCATCTGTTAACATGGAGGAGGCAGAGTTCATGTGCGATAGTGTCGTTATTGTAATTCTCCAAACTTTCTGTTGATAACGTGATCATGTCGTTGTTGTGAATCCCTTCGGGCAAAATAATCGTTTAGTGGAAATCCGATACGGTGACAGCCTCAGCAAATAATGAATAAATATAAAGATTACGTGTCTGTCTTCGTCTCACTGGTCCCCTCTGACCTCATGTCCGCGGCCGACACACTGTGAGTCACCGCGGCGTCAGAGGTTTTCACAGCTCGGAGCCAAACCGACAGAGAGCGTCACCATAGGTCAAAGGGGCAGCGGCTGCTCAGGCACCGTGAACTTGACGTTAGGTTTGTCGGTGGAGTTTTGTCTCTTCAGAGTTTTGCTCGACAGGTTTCTAGTTTTTTTTTAATTTATTTACGGAGGGAGTTGATGTTTCTGTCTGAGGGAATTTGTTTCCATCATCATGCTGGAAAAAACATTTCCTCCCCTCTGAAACTTTTACAACTCAGCGGTTATTCCTGACTTTAGCCCTGTTGCTTTCTGCCTCCAGCTGCTTCCTCTGCTGTCGCTGTTGCTTTGTGTCCGTCCCCGTTCTCTGGTTGTTTCTCCGCTTGTGTTGGCGCAACTGGTTGAGAAAGACGAGGTCGCTGTCGTGGGAATCGACGACTCATCGACCCCCAGAGGGCAGCAGGCGCCCGACTTTCAGAGAGACATCTGAAACCGAAAATGGACAAATGGAAAAACAAAAGGCGAGAGCGTGACCGCAGGACACGACGCACAAACATCAAGAGATAAACGCATCAGACATCTAACGGCACACTGAAAGGGTTCGACCTGCTGTGACCGGGCCTCCCTCATGTACACAAAGCTTTTTCATCCTTTTAAAGTAGATTTTGTTTTCAGCAGAGACTTCAATAGCACGCTGATCCCTGAGACCTGAGGACTTTCTCTGCCATGTACATCATTATGTGGTCAAGACGCTTCAGGTTCTCTTCAACCTCTTGACTTCTATAAATCCCCAACAACAGCTGCAGGTATTACTGGTTACTGGTTTAATCCCCGCGTCAGGGGACCACGTGTTCAAACCGGTTTATGTATCGCGTAAAATGTGATTTAAAAATGTTTGTGAGTCGTTGTGCTTCTTCTGAACCTGTCAGCAGTATTTTAATTGGAACATTCTCCACACAAAGGACTGGAGCTCATCGTTGTGACGAGAGAATAAATATCACAGTTTTAATAAATCACATAAAAGACCCCGGCTAAACGCTCCGATGATAAACCAATACGAGCCGGGCAGACCGCCTGGGTGACTTTGAGTGACATTTGAAAAATGTCTGCTGAGTCATGTCTCCCTGTTGTGATGAGATTTCACACTGACTCGTCTTCTCCTCGTGGCCTTAAGAGAGTTTATGAAAGTTTAGTGAAAGCTGTCCTATATTTTTTATGAAGCACATTTATTTTCGAGACACTTCTTCGAGCCCGGCTTCTGTTACACATCGAGCTTCATGCGAGCGTGTGACCAGTTTTGATTGATGCATTTTACTCCCAGACCTTTGCGCTTTTTTTTTTTTTTTCATTTCTCCTCCTTCATTTGTGCCTTTTTCAAAAAATATTGTTCTGTTTGTGATGAATGTTGGTCGAGGCTTTATAATGAAAATATCTGTTTCTGGAAGAAATAATACAGGAGCCCCACAACAAAGTAATGGAAACACAGTGAAAGGCCCCAAATAAATTGATTCAGGATTTTGAAAAGCTGAATTAATCATCAAAGTACGACGAGTGCTGAATGACAGACGCATGTATGAGGCCCTGTGGGTTAACGTGACATTTAGCTTTAATGTGTATTTTCATGTGCTCTGACTTTTCACCGTATTGTCTCATATCGATTTCTGTATTTCAAACTTTCTACTGAAATCCGGGCTGCAGATTTCTTACATTGTGATCTAACAATGTCTGCGTCAGCTGCTTATCAGAGTTTTGGGGAACATGAAGATGAAGTGTTGTTTCCATCCAGCGAGAAGCACTTCACATGTTCGTCTGAAGTGCACTTCTGGTTTTCTGCTGCGACGCAGAGAGTGGGGAAAAAATAATGTTTGAAAAATGTTGAAATCAGAAGCTGTGAGGAGGACGGATCTTGATCTTGTTGCTGCAAAGGCTCCGGGTTTTATCACAGCAAACACTTTGTTCTGTTTAACTGTCCCATAAAGACAGATATTGATCCCCTGTCCACTCACCGCTGCTGTCAACAAGACG